AAAAAAAATGATTAAAAGAAATGTATCTTCTTTTAAAGAAGATAACACAAAATAAAGTAATTTATGCGAGCCAGGAGAGAAATTTGAATTCCCACTATTAATGCATGAAATTAATGTTCTACCGATTGAACTATCCTGGCTTATTATTGTATAATATATAACAAATATATTCCCTATCTAAACTATGTTGGTATAAGTATATTTTATATCACATGTAATAGGTAAACAATATTAGTTTATAAACGTGTATAAACGTATATAAACACATATAAACATATATAGCACATTAAAGAACAACCCTATATATAAAATACTGGGAGGATACCCTGAATCGAACAGGGAACTTACTGTGCCACATACAGTTGTTCTGCCAATTGAACTATATCCACCTTTTTATGTAGGGGTGATTCGAACACCCATAAGTAAATACCAAAAATTTATGACTTACCATTAGTCTACTACATATTAATAATGATCAACATATAAAAAAAAATAAATTAAAATATGTAAACTTTATAGAATAATACGTTACAATAATAAATATGGGTAATAAGACTCGAACTTATATGAATTAATTTCACCCCGTCCTAAGCGGGACCTGTCTACCAATTTCAGCATACCCATTTTTAGTGCTGTTTGGACCCCCTCTCTCTGAGAGAGAGGGGGTCCTAAAAAATAAATTTATTTTAGGATACTGTGTAAATAAACCTTAATATTTACAAATATTGTATAAGCAATACAAACACAACTTAAAAGTATAAACACAACTTAAAATAAGCTAATTCACCTTAAATGTATAAACACAACTTAAAATAAGTTAATTCACCTTAAATGTATAATAGATTTTAAAATAACTAAATACACCTTAAATAACCTAAATTAAATTGTATTTTCATTAAACATAACTATTAAATAAATAATTATTAAGTTGTATATCATTTTTAATTTATCTTCTTATAATAAACTAAATACTATTGTTTAAATAATATGCTTTATATAAGATTTGAACTTATAGCCTAAACATTTTATTTTTAATGCATTTAATTAAAAAATTAGTCTATTTAATTTATAACAAAAATATCAAATACATTACTATGTATTTATATATAAAAGATAAAAATTATAAATAACCGTATAAATATATTTACCCTTTTTGTAAAAATAAGAGTAACCTTTATGTGTTCAAGTTTAACGGTGTTCGCCTTATACACTTGTTTGTCGCATCGTGCTTAATCGAATTATTATATAGTTGGTTTGTATGTGGCTGAACAAGTATAATAACGTAGGAGGTGTTTCTGTACGATTGTTCCTGAAAACCTATAGTAAACAAGTGTAGAATGGAGGTAGTATAAGGTGTAGGTATGAATATAAGCTTACCAATGGATTCCCCATCAGAATCTGGAACAACGAAGTCCCCAAGCTAAGTGGTATCTGATAAAGCTATTTTTGTTCCCTCGTACAATGAGCCAAGTGTTCCCCCTTTTATTGTACAGATATACCTTATACCCAAAGGTAAATTTGATCGAATGAGCACGAAAGGTTTATCTTCTTCCCGCAGAGAGTAACGGTATACAGAAGACATAATTGGCAAAGTTAAAGTATGAAAGAGATAAGGTGTAGAGTTATGATCTTGATGCAATAATGCTAATATGACTTCTACTCGGTTCAATGATTGGATGCCTAGTCTAATTTGCAGCATGGTTGCCTTTTTGGCATAGCTAAAAATAGCATAGTTGCCTTTTTGGCATAGCTAAAAATAATATGGTTGCCTGCTTGGCACAGCTAAAAACTGCCGTCGCCTTTTTGGCGTTTTAAAGTATAAGTACCACCCTTTTCTCCCGACTATTTCGTTTTCACCACCCCACCAAGGCATCGCATACCAAACCTACCGTCCACCAACCATCCTTTCGCCAACCGCTTTATCAACACACTTCGCCAAACCACCCTTCCACTTACCATACCACACCATTCTCACATCATCCACACCACAATGGCTACTACTGTACCCTCGACCCATTCCCCTGTTAAAGTCTGGACTACCGAACCTGTCCACCAAAATCTCGACCCGTTTTCTTCCGAACGTCTCATCTTTCGAGCTCTCCTCGACTCGGATTTTCCAGCATATCACACGATATTGAGCCAAGAAGAAACAATGACTAAAGTTGGTCTGGGCCCAATGCTCAAGTAGAAGCTAGCTCGATCCTGGTTCAACTAGACACAAGAAAGCTACACAAGAGTTGGATTTTTCCTCCCCCCCGCAAGCTTGCGGGTGGGGGGGGGGGGGGGGGTGAGTGGTTAGT